TCTTGGCTTAAAAACATAACTCATCATTACATTCTTCACTAATTAACTACTATCCTATTTATTACCATTCCTCATTGTGCTTGTAACATTTAGGCTTTCTTCTTTTTTTCTACATAGGTCATGATATTCTTTAACATAACTTTTCCTATGATGACTTTGGCTGGGACGACTAACACTAATATGCATTGTGATAATTCAATTTCATACTCTCAGCACTAAACAGTCGTGTGATAACTCGATTAATTAAGACCTAAAGAAAATAAGATCATTGGTTTCAAATGGAAACACAGAAAATTAAATATGAATGCAGTTTGATCAAGCATAACAGATTGTAACTCAGCTTTTCAGAACAATCACTACAATGACTCAACATTTAAAAAAAAAAATTTCTTCCGGGATAAGAGATCACTTTTATCAACTCAGCATACAGATGTCGGTCAAGATGAGCAGATGCCTTAATTCAATTAAAATCAATGTGATGCTCGTATACTTCAACAGATACTATCCTTAAGAATGATCAATCAACCAAGCAAAGATGTAATCAAAAATTCAAAGAACTACTCCTCACCATGGAAAGTGTTTCACTCAAGCACTCAAAAGTGTATCACTCAAGCACTCAAAAAGTGTATCACTCAACTAAAAGGTGTATAGTGAGGTGTTGGTGTCTTTTTCACTCTGCTATCACAATGTCACACAAATTAAATTTGCCTTTCATTTAACCACAATCAAACATACTCACAAGCAAGTTGTCATCACAAGGGCTTTTCATAGCTTGTAACTTGGCTAGGCTAAGAAGGAAATTGGTTTTTCTGGTCAGGAAAATACTTGAGTTAAGAGAGACATTTATGATTTCATCATTCAAGCCCAAACTCTCTTTCTTTTTCCCAGCTCTCCCTTGCATTGAGCTTTTCTTTTCTTTTCTTTTCTTTTCATCTTTCTTTTTCTTTTGCTTTTGCTTTTCATTTATTCACTGCTTAGCTCATTGCTTTTTCTTTTCAATTTTTTAATAATCCCAAACTTGAAGCTTTATCAATACCTCATCAAATGTTCTCAACTTAACTCAAGGTAAATATTTTCATAAAGGGTTTTCAAAGGTTAAAACAAATTGTTTTCTTTTCAGTTGGTCAAAAATCATTTCAAGGCTAAAAGAATAAGGGATAACAAAAGATGGCCTTGATCATATGAAACCTGCAAGCAAGTAGTTCAATCACAGAAAATTTGGGCAAAATCATTCATTCTTCCAAAGTAATAGCAATAATTCACAAAAAACTCTGAAGCCCAAATCTCACACAGGTAAACTCACAAGTCCCAAAATTCAGAAAAACACCCCGCCTAGTGTCTTAATCAAGTTTTACCTCAAGCACCTGTTTCATACACTGTGAGCCATCACCTGTATATTAGCACATCATGCATCATCTCAACATCAATCAATGCACTAGAATATCACAAAGCAATACTCATCACAAAACATAGCAGAATTGAATTAAAGCAGTGTGGTTCATTCAAGCAAAGTACAATAACAAAACAATTGATTAAAAAGAAAGGTTTAGAAAGATAGGTTGCCTCCCAGTAAGCGCTTCTTTAATGTCACTAGCTTGACCCAATAAGCTCATGTCACATCTTTTATCTTGGTGTCATCTTTTCCTTCTCCACACCAACAGAAACAAGGCCCAAGCCCGTGTCGCTAGCGCTCAAGCGCCTCACTTAGGGCGTCCGGGTGGTGAACGGTGGTTCCTGGCGCTTAAGCCTCAAAAAGGGGCACCCAAGCTTCGTGCTTCTGATGCTCAAGCGCTCAAAAGGGGCGCCTAGGCGGTGAGCGACATTGTTCTGCGCTTAAGCCTCCAAAAAGGGCGCCCAAGCTTCGAGCATTCCTCTCTTCTAGTGTTTTTCCAAGCCTTTCTGAGCTCCATCTCGTTGTCACTTCATCTCTACTTTTCATATTATCTCATTTCCTACCAAAACAAGGGAATTTAGTCATAAATTCATCAAATTCAACCTCAACTCTCTTATTTACACAACTTAACAGAAAAACATGATTTCAAGCAAGTTTCTAAGCAGAAAAGGGTGCATTTAGTATCAAAATTACATCATAGATAACAATATTTTCAACCGTTATCATGATTATAATTATACTTAAGTGAAAACTCATGGTGCTACTATTATATTCTTTCACAATATTACATTATCACATTGCAACCACCGAAATTCCCATTTATACATATAATTAATTCACACCTTATACAATTAAACATTCACCCCTTATATAATTAATTCCATGTATGCACGAAAACAAGAAACAATTATTTAATTGTCCTAGAATAATACTTTATGGTTAATGATACTTCTAAAATTCATGAACCACCTTAATAGAGAACAAGCATCTCAAGACATTCAAAATTAACAACTAAAAAGATTAATAATTAAATAAGGTTAACTTCCCATTGACCAATTCTAGAGTTTTATCTACACAAGGTCAATCAACCCATAATCTCTTACGTCTCTGTTATCTATCTAGGATTTTTTTTCTCCTCTTTAAAATTTCCCTCTCTTTGCCTCATGATGCTCTCTTTCTTTACCTCTAAAATCTATTATAATTAAAATATTCACCTAGGTAATGCTTCCTACAATATCTCAACTAGTTTTTTAAAACATAACTACAAGATTTGACGTTCTATTTTCTAATTTTCAGCTTATATTATTTAAAGTACATGTCTTTACTTCTTCCACTCATATTTATAATTTGTGCACCTCAATTACAAAAGGGGGAAAACACATTCTTCCCCTCAAACAAAATATAAATACAATAAAGCAAAGATTTCTCATAAACCTCTCTCCCTATATTTGAACTCACATCCATTAACTCTTAGACAATCATATCTACCAACAAGCTAATCCATTACATTGAGAATATCAAACATCACAAATATAACAACCATACATTATCAGGTGTTGCACTTATATCACCAAAACAAATAAATAACACAAAATCTTATGTTTTAATCAAGACTTGCACACGTGACCACTTAGCCCATCAAAGAGTTCTCACCAATTGAGATACACAACACCTTGTGAACACACAAATTCTAATAAAACATACTTAAGTCTTATTACAATATTATTCATAAGCCCTACATTTTCTCCGCTCTTACACACGTGGACACTATGTTGTTAACGATTTAGACGTCGTTAGGGAAAATGCCCCAATTACAAAAATTGTAACCACTTTGAGTGTTTGAAAAATTCGATGACCACTTTAAACAAAACTAACGAAAATAAAGACCAAAGAGGTATTAAGCTTTTATAAGTATTAGTGAGTTAAGTTATAAATTATTATATACACAAAATTTAAATTTTTTAAATGATTCTATATTTTAATTTTACTAAAAGCAAACATACTAATAGGTTGAAAACTTTAACAATGTTCATCAAATTTTGAAGAACTAGTGGACTAGAGAACACGAGTTACGCCATAAGTCGAGATGAGTCAACCTTAGCCAAACATCGAGCCAAGCCAACTCGAGACGAAGGTCTAGTCGAGCCAAGCTAGCTTGTGCCGAAATTTGAGCCAAGTTAGTTTGTGTCGAAGGTCGAGACAAGCTAGCTTATGTCGAAGGTGGAGCCAAGATAACTTGTGCCAAAGGTCAAGCCAAGCTAGCCCTAACCAAAGGCTTTGCGGAGTCAGCTTCAACTAAAGGTTGTGTTGTGTCAACCTTGGTCGTAGGTCAAACTTAGTTAGCCCAGGCCAAAGGTTGAGCCGACCCAGCCAAAGGTTGAGTCGAGTTAGTGATGATTGAAGGTCAAATCGAGTCACCCCAAATTGAGGTTAAGTTGAGTCTACCTGGGTTGAAGATCAATAAAAGTTGGGCTCGACCACTAAGTCATCTAGGACGAGGGTCAAACTACAAGCCAAGGAGGGTCTGTCGAGTCTACTCAAGCTAGAAGGTCATGTCGAATTAGTCTAAGTCGAGGGTGAAGTCGAGGGTCGAGCCGAGTCAGTCCTTAGTGATGGTTGAGTGAGTCATCCTAGAACGAGAGTCTATCGTAGTCATCCCGAACTGAGGGTCAAACTAAGTCAATCTCGATCGAAAGCCGAGCCGAGTAAACTATAACCTAGTTGACCTAAGTTATCCTAGGTCTAGGTCAATCTGATTTAGCTCAACACATGTTTAATAAATCTAATAGTCAAATATATTAGATCAATCTCATTAGATATAATGTAAATAACAAAATAGATTAGATCTAAATTTAATCTAATTTAAATTGAATTGAAAAAAAATCCTTATTAATCTAATTAATATATATATATATATATATATATATATGGATTATAAATTCAATATTTTATTAGATCTAGGTTGAATTTTTGAAAAATCCAATCTATACCCACTCTTACTTTTCACAATCCTTAATTTTATGTTCCTAATTTTCATTTCCCAAATAGTACCATATTAAATAGTTTTATGTCCTTCACGCCTAATTATCCTTCGTGTGATTGATACACTTTTCATGCCGTTTTCCTTCCTTCACTCTTCCACTCCGATAGAAAGTTTATTTGTATTCTCTTAATAACCTTCTTTACTCCTACAAGAAGTTTATGGAAAGACATATTCAACATAGACAATTAAGTTAGCATACATTTTAACAAACTTATTCTTCCAGCATAAGATAAGTGTATTTCTTTATAAATTACATTTATTATTACTAGAGTTATTTGTAATTATTTCTCATAAGATAAGATAACTTTCTTATATAGATTGGGAAAATATGATTTACTCATTTAAATATAATTGTTTTTTCTGATAAATAAAACTACATTTCATGCAAAATGTTATGTGCTTTTGAATCAAAGGTAGTCGTGTAGTTTTATCAAAACTTTAATATCTTTCTATTTTGAATCCTTAATAGTACATTTTAATCAAAACAAAAAACAAACAAATATTGTATCATGAAGGATACATCTACAAACAATATTACATTACAACATAATAAGTTGAAGCTCCGAAAAACAATTTTTAATACAGTTTTCTACAAGAACCTACTTGATTCTTCATTTCTGTAATGAATTAGTTCACTATCCTGCAGTTGAAACGAATTTGCCCTTTACTCCCGGTGGAAGGTTTTATGTTTCCCATCTTAATCATAGATTTTGCAAAGTCCTGGTGGAAAGCCTTGGAATTGTAGCTATATCTTTTAACCAATGCATCAGTAGAACCACCATTGAACAGTTCCTGATCAGAGTGAAGTACCCCTTGCCTATGAACCAAATCAGAGAAGTAGGCTGAATCAAATTGCGCTGCTGTGTCGTCCAAAGGAGCAAGGTTCAAGTCACCTCCTTTTCTAGGGCAAATGTACTTAAGTTCTTGTGCAAAACGGGGATTGATATTAGAGTCATTGTAGATATGGTCCCTAAAGGTAGCACAACGTGCAAATCCTATGGTGTGGCCTCCAGAAAGAACAACAAGGTCTTTCTTATCAAGACCATGGTTCTTGAAGTTGGTGATGAGTTCAGAGAGGCTAAAAAATGGTGCTGGAATGTTTGCATTTGCTGCTTCACGGCTTGCTGTGGTGGAGTCTCTTCTTCCTAGTTTCACTTTCCATGTTGGCCCACCTAGCTGCAAGGGAAAACACATAATTCTTAATATCATTTTTCTTTCATCTTACTTACAAAAACCCTTATTTTGTAATATATGTACGCAAATTTCACCGAATACGAGAATGATTGATGGCTAAATCAACCCACATGATCATGGTAGCCTATTTTACTTTTACAGTAATTGTTTGTTCTCTGTCAATCTTGTAGAGATCAGGAACAAAATTGTGATTAGTTTATATCTGACATTAAAAAAACTATTGATTTTTGTTTATAATTTGAGGTTTGGATATTCATGGCAAGAGGACTTCGTGTTATATGTGAATTTTATTCAGAGTTTATTGTTCAGTTGACAAAGAGCTAAAAGAAAAGAAAACAAAAAAAAAAGTTTTTTGACAACATGACAACGAAAATGGGAGAAAGAAGAAATAGTAAAATAAGGTATGTGCTACTTTTTCATAAGATAAGTTTTAAAAGTATCATAAAATTTTCAAGTTACTTCATATTTGAATATCTCCTGCTTACTAAGTCAGAAAATGAAATAAATCATATTATTAAATTAGTTTGCCTTGCATGCTTCTATCATGCTTTTAGAAAATAAAAATAAAATGATTATCTTATAACTTACTCTATTTGACACGGTAACTAATATAGAAAAAATAAATTGTATCTCGACTAAATCAATTCAATTGTAATGCACAAACAAAAATAGAATATTAATAGTTCTTTTGATATAATTACAACAAAAAAGCATAACACTCCAAAATCATAACAAATCATAACATAAATTTAATTTATATAAAAAATTCACATCATCCCCAATTGAAAACAAATCTATCATTTTCTTCGTATAATTCTTAACTTCCTTATAATTTTTATTTATTTAACGAGAAACATAAATTTACACTTGTATATTACTATGTTACTAAACATTCAAAGTAGTAACGTGTGGTAGAAACAGTAGTATCACTCACCGCAACGACAGAGTCACGTGCAGCAACAGCCAATATATCTGCACAAGAAACAACTGGTTTTCCACATGCTTGGTCCACAGCCTGCTTAATCTCATCCACAACTTCAAATCCTCTAGCAGATTGAACATTTGCAAATGCATTCTTTTCACTGTCAATGGTGGGTGAAGGGTCTAGCAGAATCGAACCATCACAGCCCTGTTGCATCATTCTTTTTATCAGCCATGCAAAAGAAATATATAGAAACAGTAGCCAAAAGAATCACCATTATCTGGTACAATCTAACATAAAAGAAAATAACAGCAACATAAAAGAAGACATGCAACTAGAAAGTCTTACGTTAACAAAGCAATCATGAAAGTGCAAGCGTAGCAGAGAAGCTCCCATACGCTGCTCTCTCTGCACAGCAGCCTCCACAACACTTCTGATGGTGCTCAAAGCGTTAGGGCATGAGTAGTCATAATAATTAGGGGACAGTGCTGAAAATGCAGTTGATACAACAGCTGCAAAAGCAAAGGCATGGATGAAAAAAGAGAAATGTTTATAGGAAGCCATTTATATCATGCAGTATCTTTGGCTACTAAGCTAAGAATTAGGACCAGTTTTGGGTTATGGAGATCTATGTGTTCTACAACCCTTTATATATAGAGATGAAGCACCATTGTACAGAATATCATACCTATTACTTGGTGGATTGGGACTAGGGATTGACCAATTCGGGGAAAGAAACGTTCATCAGGTCATTAATGAAAATACTTAACTTGCAAGAGTTCACTTGGATATGTATAAGAAAATGAGAGAAGAATTTTTCATGGATTGATTAAGTCCATGGGTTTGTTTATTGAAAGTCAACCATTACATGATTAGGTGAAAAATTAGTATTGAGGGTAACGTACATCAATATATATATATATATATATATATATATATATATATATATATATATATATATATATATATATTTAAGCATCTCTTTCGATTGAGTCAAACTGAAATATGATATTTTTTTGCTAGTTAATCATTTTATTATATTGATTTGTAAAGTATACTATTATTTGGTATTTGGAATCATTGGAAAGTTTCAAAACTGCCCGTTTCTTAGAATATATCATTACATAAAATAAGGTTAAGTACGTAGTAATTTCATAGTTTATCGTTTCATCCTTTCTAGAGTGACATCAGGTTCTTTTAGGACGATTGAGTCAGAAATTTATTTTATCTCAACTAATAACACAATGTCAAGTTTTCATGCAGAAAATAATTCAAAAGAAATTTTACACATTTTTATACAGAAAAAGAGTCCCCAAAAGTGTTTTGTTTGGAAATAATAACATAAGAACTCAATTAAGACGAACAGGAGAAGAAAATAAGCAATAAGTAATGATTTAATTTTATTAAAGGAAAGAAATCTGTAATACTTTTCTTCAAACTCTGAGGGAAAAAATATAGCATTGTTGAAAATAGGAAAAACAACTTCATTGATAACTTTAAAAAGAGAAAATGTTTTTCTCTTTTAATTTTACTCTCATGCACTAAAATAGAAAAAAAAATGACTTTGATTTGTCAGGCTAAGAAAGCAGTGTGTTTATTTTATAATAAGAAAAATAAATATTAGGATAAATGTTTTTGGTATAATACTTCTTTTATCCCGTACTTCCACTAAAGGAAATTGATCAACTTAATCAAATTCTCATAGCATGTTTTATATTTTTCCACCGTGTTTTATTATTTTTTAATTGGCCAGATTGTATGAAACTTTATACACTTGTCAATTCTAATCAACATTTTCATAACATTTACAAGATTTTCATTAGTATAAACAAAGTTGTAGAGTATACCTTGTATTTCATAGTAGAACATAAGATATGATTTTTTTTTTCACCTCAAAAAATAGCGTATTACTCAAAGCTATTTTTCATGGATAACTATGAAAATCAGTTAATAATATCATTTTTTTGATGGATTTTTTATGACAAAAATTCGTCGATAAATGATTTGTTTGTAAAATTTACTGACAGATTAGAGATCTATCACTAGTGCATAAATATTGTTTAATGTTATATCACTACAGGAAATATGCTAATTACCGAAGGCCTACTACCGACGGCTTGTGGTCCTTCGGTAAAATTGATTTACCGAAGGATTTATCGGCGATCACAGTGGGATGGTGATTACGGATAGCTTATACCTATAGTAATGGGAAGTAAATTTACCGAAGGTATTTGGTCATCGGTATAGGCATGGACTTAATGAAATCAGATTTCCCTCTCCCATTCTCCCAAATTGTTTTTGCGCAACTTCCCCCAAACTCTTCCTCTCTCCTTCTACCCCAAGCATGTCAGAGTTCACCTAATCACCTAATCTCCCAAACCCTAACCCCTTTTTTCTTCAATAAATGTGTCAACGTGAGGAGAGTGTCGGTGAGGAGGGTAGTCATTCACGGAAGGAGGGTGAGGAGAGTACCGAAGGTGTTTCTTGACAAGATTGTTGTCGCGGAATGACGAGGTTGTTGTCGCAACGTGACAAGGTTGTTGTCACGACGTGACGACAGTGCTATGGCAGCGTGACCAAGACTCATACTATCTTAGGGCGTCGGCAATCTAGGGGCTTGTGACAAAGGGGCTCGTAGCGGAGGGCTTCAACTATCAGGAGGGGAGGCTATTGGAGGTGCTAATACACCTAGGGGGTCTCGTTGCCGTAGAGGTGAGTTCTATTTTTTGAGAATGATGGGGATATTGTGTATGAAGGGGCTGATGAAGAATTTGATGTCATATTGTTAAATGTATGCAGTGTTATGCATTTTTCTCTGAATTGTTTTGGTGATATGCTACAAACAATTAACATAACATGGAGTGCCCACCTAGTTGGCATTACAGATTCTATAGTGATTTCTTACATACCTTCTTTGCTTTATAAAAAAATTCATATTGATCACACTTTGCACAATAACATAAAAAGCAAGAAGGATGTAGCTAGAATGAATCGAAGGTCCAAAACCATGGCATGGAAAGCCGTTGCAGGTCCATTATAAGTCACCCTCTTTCTACCAATTGGAATAACTCCTTACACTAAGAAAACTAGAGATTCTCATTGATTTCTCATCATCGAATCACCCACCAGCATTATTCCCTTTCTTCTCATTCTTCCAAGAAACCTCAATGCATCAAATCTGCACATGTAATCAAAAAGTTAGATTTTGGTATAACTGTATGTTCATTTTCTTCTAAAAACTAGCCTTAGTTTTTAACAGATAGAATCTAAAACCCAAATTTAAATCCTTTTCACACCAAAAACATCAACAACAACCATATATATACCTTGGCAAGGTACATAGATATGGTCAATTAGATATGGTCAATTAGAGTCATAAAGCTTAGATATGGTCAATTAGAGTCATAAAGAGGGTAAGAGTCATCATAAACTCATTTTCCAACAAAAAAGTCACATATCTTCCTAGAATCTCTGTTGCTTTGGACCATCTTAACATCATCAGGTTGAACTAGAATCCCAGAAATAAAATATATGTGGGCTAGCTAATCTCACGTTCAAGTTTAGTTGGATCAATGTATATGTGTATGTCTGAATCTTCTGAAATAACTTTTGTTGGTCTAATCAAATCATAGGCAACTGTTTACATTTAAACTAGTTAGTTTCAGTATTAAATTTGTGCTATAAACATTAACTTGAGTAAGTTTTAGGTGCAGACCATATAAGCGATGATTTGCTGAAGCAAAAGCTTGGTTGCACATTGAGATAACTCCCAAAATGATTAGTTCTACAGTTGGTCGAGTTGTACTATCATTGTGGTGTCTGTTTTTTTTAATTTATTTTTAATTCTAGTTCAGTACATAGATCATTGTTGAACGTCATTAAGTGGGATTCTAGTGTCTTTCTCATGTCTTATTTGTTGTTTCTGAGTCTATTTCAGTGTCCAAAATTCATTTGACTCTTTGTACCTAAAATTGGTTGATGGAGTTGTTTAATATGGCATATAAATAGGGTTGAATAAGTGAATTTAAGAAATACTACTGTTTAGCATCAATTAACTATGCTCACAACTTTGTTTCATTGATCTTCATGCCAAATCATTTCGAGTTTTAACAGCCTTGTGTGTTTTCACTCTCCAAACCACTTATTTTAGACCTTTTTTCTGATAACAAGTTGTTGGCTTAGTTGCCTAGTTCTGTGATCTGTATGGTGCATCTGTATTTGCGTGAATTTTCAGTAAAAGCTTGGTTCATTTGTGATATATGAAATAAAGACAACTCATTTTGTTTGTTTGGGTTGTTGATGTAGATTTGACCGTGAGTGGAAAAAGATTGAAGCATTTCTTGGATCAAAGTTTATTTTCCAGGTAATTTTAAATGTAAAATTTGTGTAGAGGTCATTGATGGGATAATGATGATGTTGATTGGTTTATGTATTGCAAATTTACATGAATGTTGCGCTGACAGTTTTACAATGTTTTGATGAACTTTTCATAATTGATTGATGGTGTATATAAGTTATTGTGCGGGTAAATTGTGTGGCTGGATTAGAAGTATTATTATGCCTGTGCATCACTTTGTGGTATATATTGATTTCAATTATATAAATGTATATTTTTGGTATATAATGCGTGTAGTGGTAACCTCTTTAGAGGTGGTTACTTGTAAGAACTCTCCAAACAAAAAGAACTACTTCATTGTAGTTTAAATTGACTACCTAAGACCTAAAAGTAGCAGCCTAAAGAGCCTCCAATTGTGTAATTGTTTTAAGCATGAGCATATCCTAAGAGAGAGAAGAAAATGAATTGACAAGAGAGGTAATATTGATTAAAGAAAATTAAAGAACACTTCAAAACTCATTAATTCTAAGAGATTCTAAAACTCACTAATGAAAAGGCACAATTTGGTTTAAACAAAGTGTGAAGAAATTTGTTTTGATGACTTTGATAAACTGAAATTTGCACCTTTGATTGTTACAACCAGTTCAATCAACAAATTTTCAAAATCCTTTTGATCATTTAAAATGCATCTCAAACCCTAAACTGTACAAGTGAAATTGATAACACCATTCAATTGGAGAAAATGGACTTTTTAGAATTAGAAGGCAAGTGCATAATTTTCCTCTGGGTCAAAGCTTTTGGTTTCATGTGCATTCACTCAAATCCACTTTCTAAAGTGTTTGAGCTCATTTTCAGTCCACTGGCAAGTTTCTTTTGGATGATATACACTCAATCTCACCATCACTTAACTGTTTGGGTTGTATCTCAAAATTTGGCTATAGGAGTTTCCAATTTTCACATTTTTGCTTGTTGGACAGCCACTTTGAATTCACAAATTATGCTCCTTCTCCACTTCCTAACATGCCACCTTAGAGGGAAAAGGTTTCTAAAATTGGACTGCACCACAAGGTCTTCACAACATCACAATTTCACACAAAAATTAGCACCAAAGTAAATAAAAAATTGCACCAGAAATGGTCACTGGACAACACCAAAATATGACTTGAATTGGACAATTTTAAGATGCCAAAAGCTTAAAAGCAATACAAATAGGTGTAGAATAGAAGTAGGCACTGAAATCGATTCTAATAAAGGTTCTAGAAC